ATTTTGCCGTATTACTCAATACAGTACTGGGAAAAGTATCCAGAAACCTTTGAAATTTGAAAAGTACGAGGGTTTCTTCTCTTCGTGTGACTAAGAATGATTCTTTTGCGAATTTCGTGGAATATAAAGGTCAAACTTCACGAAATGCTCATAAATCTGCACCATTAATGTCCAATGACGGTAATTAAAAGCTATAAAATGTTGAAGAATACGGTTTTTGATACCCCGAGGAAATAAGTCGAAAGAAATGCTAATAAAATTGGCAGAGATCGGACTGAATCGTTCATCAATTTTCGGAACTCCATGTTATTTGTTCTATTATGAGGTAAGCAACTCGGACTTGACAAGGTTTCAAATTTTCGATCAAGTTAATCGATATTGGACTGGTAGTTCCTGAATTTGCTGCTTGCATTAATTTATATTTTCTGTGAGTACCGTAATGTAGAAGAAGGCCTCTGACAGATTTCCCAACTGATAGGCGAGGAGACGAAAATATATTATATAACTAGGAATGAAAACCTTTGAAAAGAATATTTAAAAAATTTGTCTGTCACCTCAACTTGAATTTCCGAAGAAATGCGGAATACGTAACAACGGAAGCTTCACATTTTGTAAGAAAATATCCTCATCAACAAAGACTGGCAAACATGCGTTTCTGTCTCAGGCACGTCAAAAATTCTGAAAGCCGATATAGTTTCCTCATTTTAAGGACTGGACAAAAATATTTTTGAAAGGACATTTAAAAGATTATTCCTGACATGAAAATGAATTTCCGATTATGAATATGTTTGCAAGGATGAGGCTAACATTTATATTTATAAGTGGAAATGATCAGAGGCAAGAAATGTCAGAAAAATGCTCAGGTGATGGGCTTCTGGATGATCGAAATGTTTTTCCTTACGTAATACAGGAAATACATTTGCAGGAAACCTAGAGGGTTTCAGAAATACGTGAAATTTTTCATCTGTCTTTTCTTTTTTTCTTTAAAGATGCATGCGGGTCATTCAAAATATTTTTAAAGTGCACTTTTTTTCACGAAGACCACATTCACTAAAATGAATTAGGGGGAAGTGAGACAGCAGAACTCCTTCGATGCTCTCATAATTTTTATCACGTTCTGTCTCGGTTGAGACACGACGAGGCCAAATAGCATAATTTTCATGAATTTATTTGAATAATAGCCTTACTCAATTTCGGAAATTTTCTGATTCAAATTGCGGGTATTTTGCCGTATTGCTCAATACAGTAATGGGAAAAGTATCCAGAAACCTTTGAAATTTGAAAAGTACGAGGGTTTTTTCTCGTCATGTGACTAAGAATGATTCTTGAGAATTTCGCGGAATATAAAGGTCAAACTTCAAGAAATGCTCATAAATCTGCATCATTAATGTCCAATGACGGTAATTAAAAGCTAGAAAAAGTTTAAGAATACGGTTCTTCATACCCCAAGGAAATATATTGAAGGAAATGCTAATAAATTGGCAGAGCTCGGACTGAATCGTTCATCAATTTTCGGAACTCCATTGTTATTTGCTCTATTAATTCTGAGGTAAGTAACTCGGATTTGACAAAGTAAATCGATATTGGACTGATAGTTCCTGAATTTGCTGCTTGCATTAATTTATATTTTCTGTGAGTACCGTAATGTAGAAGAAGGCCTCTGACAGATTTCCAAACTGATAGGCGAGGAGACGAAAACATATTATATAACCAGGAATGGAAACCTTTGAAAAGAATAGAAAAAAATGTGTCTGTCACCTCAACTTAATTTCCGAAGAAATGCGGAATACGTAACAAACGGAAGCTTCACATTTTGTAAGAATGTCCTCATCAACGAAGACTGACAAACATGAGTTTCTGTCTCAGGCACGTCAAAAATTCTGAAAGTCGATATAGTTTCCTCATTTTAAGGACTGAACAAAAATATTTTTGAAAGGACATTTAAAAGATTATTCCTGACATTTTTTACTTAAAGGCTAATACTTATACAAACGTTCCTACTCCGATTGTAAATATAAATATTCACCTTTACTAGTCTCCGTTCTTTACAGTCTTTTTACGAGTCCACTACCCGAAGACCTACTAGCTTTTTTGGTTCCTTTTCTCCAAAACAGAAAAAAAGTTTTTTTCATCGCTAACTTTGAAATACAGTTCCGTACAGTACTCGCACGTCCTTGGCCATAAGTGACACATGCCACGGATTACTCTTTTCCCTAGAATTTTTTGAACTGTTTATGGACATGATCATTTATTCCCCTAAAGGAATAAAACTTTGAGAATCTTGTGTCACCTCAGTTGTAAATCGTGTAGCCTTGAATGAACAAGAAGGGCTGGAATATTTCTGGAAGCATAAATCTTGGTTGATGTTTTCGCATGAAAGGCATCTCAAAAATGAAAATTAAAAAAATAGAGTAATTTTTAAACATGCTTGGCTATAGATGGAGTAAATGGAAAATTTGCGAAAAGAAGAATTTAGAGATTCCTATAATCTTTCAACAGGCCTTCTTCCACTTTATTACGTTTTCGAATACTAAAATTGATGAGAACGACTGCATTATACACAAGTGAATGTGAAGAACATATTTTCCGAAGAAAAACGTTTCACGAAAATACGTCCGAAAAACTGCGACATATCAGTGATGTTCTTTGCATAAAAAACCCAAAATAAATTACTTTTTCGAAGAAAAACAAAAGCAGTATAATTCGAGCTGGATGTTCATCCAATTTTCCGCTCTGCCTCTTTTCCCACTCGAATCGCTGCTTGACATTCTATTATGAATATTTAGGGCTTCAACAGTTCATGAATTATAAAAATATAAAAATCCTTCGTGCACCGAATTGAAAAAATACATATGGAAAAAAGACGAGTATCGTCCTTATGTGCGGATAACTTTTGATACCTCTCATTGATGAAAAAAAAAATTATTATCATCCTTGATGAAATAGAAAGATTTCATTTCTTCGTGATTTGCCAAGAATGTTCGAATAAACATTTTCTCAAGTTACCGGGCTTTCATATTGTGGTACTTGGATTTTTGATAAATTTTCAAAGCTCTTTTATATATATTCAGAGCACGTTCCGGAATGCCACTAAACGAATAAAAATGATTTCATTACTCCGCAAAGCGTGAATATTCAGCAGTTTTTCACACACGAAATTGAATAAACGAAAAAACGAGTAACGATACTTAAAACAAAAATTTTGTTGGATCGCATAAATCAACTGAAGCAGCCGAACTTTCGTTTTCAATCAATTTTCAGTACCACTTCCCGTTCCACTCAGAACGAAGCCAAGCAAGCGCCACTTATTTTCTTCCCTCGTGTTTTCCCAACCAATTATGGACTCTGTTTTTTTTTTATTTTTATTCCTCGCATTGGGAGGACTGTTTAAAAAAAAAGATAACTGAGCATCTTGTGAACCCCGCCGCACCCACGGGTGCCACGGGTGCGACTGCGGCCTGCAGTACCCAGGCAGCGGCAGAAAAACACTTTTTCGCGTGCCTCGCCCTTCGTCGTCGTCGTCGTCGTCGGCGTCGTTGCATTCGGCGGCGGTGTGGCAATAAGGACAGACACACATATGCAGCTCGCTTCGCACTTCTTCTTTCTCCTCATTCATCAATTCATTCCTATCGAGTAAAGAAAGAAAAACCAACAAACGACCGAGTTTTTCTTCGTCTTTCTACCCTGTCATCATCTCTATAGCCTGCTTGCAGACTCCTTTTTTTCTTTTCTTAATCCGCAGAATGGGAGGAAAAAAATCTGTTCGAATCTAACCCAGACATAAAAAAAAAATAGGGCGGGTTCGTGCTGCGTGTAGAATATTTTTTTTTTATTCATCCCTCACTTGCCAACCGCGCAAACCCGTCATCACAAGGACTGAATCCACACTGGTGTTTTTTTGTTTTGTTTCTGCTTCTTCTGAATGAGACAAGAAACCTTTTTGAAATGCTGACGAGAGCTTTATATGCGTGATGTTTGCTTCTACGTATTCGGGAAGGCACGATTTTGTGTTTTGACAACAAAAAAAACAGGGCCAGTGATTATCCTGCGGTTTTCTGCTGAGTCCCGACAAAAAGGTTTGAAGTAATGATGTCCTATGAGACGAAAAAATACACATTACTTTATAGGTATATACTCTTCCTGCGATGATCTTGTCTACAACGATTTTCTCTGTATAATGAATTTTTTGTTGCCCCATAGAGGGGTTCTCTCCCCATTTTTAGGGACTCTCAATGACACAAAAAATTTTTTTTTCTGGTCCCGTGAATGGTGTTTTAGGAGTAAACCTGTATTTGCAAGACATAGGACTAGTCTTAACTCTAAGGGGAAAATATATTGCTAAATTAAAATTTTAATATTCAAATATTTTTAAAGGAGCTCGGTAACATATTTTTACTGGTACATCAACGTGAGCTCTGGCAAATAAATAAGGGATTCCTGAGGTCGAAAAGATTGAGTAGTTCTGTCTTGAGCAATTTAGGAGATGATGTTTATTCGAAAATTGGCTCATTTGTTGTTTCACACTGCTGCGTTGAATCACGACTATTTTTGAATAAATTTGTTGGATTTTAATTAATCGCGACGTATGCTATTTTTCAGTAGTTGAACCGTTTCGATTTTTTATTTTGCTACAGATCAAGTTGATTCCTTTTGAGGGTTGGAACAATTAGGTTCCGAATATTTTGTTTTTTTCATTTTTCCTTACGAATTGTGGGAATATACGAACCGAACATTTTCAAAGGGGGTATAAAATGTGTTCGTAACTTCGCTGTAAAAGACTCGAAATTAATATTTTTTACGTTTTTCCTGTCATTTCTAAGGGTTCTGAAATGTTATTCCTCGACGAAGTTTAACTGAAAATCGCCAATTTTCATCATATTGAGAGTAAAAGAGCGAACAAATCGTTTCACGGAGAATTGAGTTCTTCGAACTGGTCACCTAAAAAAAGCAAAAAATATATATCTCAACTGAAAAAAAGGCGAAATGAAGTCTGAAAAAGGTGTTTGTACGTCAGTCTTTTTTTTCATGTCTTCACATATTGCATCATGAATTACGCATCGTCCTCCTCCTGGTATGGCATCAAAATACGGCTCAAATTAGATCATTTCTTCGGCACAATTGAATCACATTGGGATTACTCATTTAATTGGGGAACACCGGAATTCTCGTACACGTGATGTGATATCAACTACCGACTTTTCGACACAAATCTGGTGAATAAAAAAATCACATCCGGCGGCTCGCATTCATATCAGACTCGACCCGAACAGCACCTGAATCGCGTGCTCAACAATTCTTAATTTCAAGCAAGGTCCTTTTCATATAGAGTTATTTTTCTGGCTTAAAATGTTCAAAAATATTGAAAAGCCTCTTGCACTAAATAAAATAAATCCAGCACCCTGATTCGTCACTCCGCTCGTATCTCCGTCAACAAAAAGCAGCCATTTAAACGTGTCCCTCTGGCCATTCTTTCTATCTTCCAAAAAAAATCACTAATTGCGATTGCTACCACAGATTGCATTTTTCAAGAGGATCCATGTAGTCTCGAGGCACACAGCCAAATGCTTCAGCGAATTCCGGCATGTTTTGCAATGTGCCAATCACTCGACTTGCCCAAGGCGCGTGGGGATCAGCTCGCAAATCCTGCGCAAGTGATTCTTCGGTGACTATTCCACACACTCCCTGCAAAAAAAAATCGACATCACCTCGAAAATTCTTAGATTGAATTTAGACGGCATTTGATTTTCTTACAAATAAACTAAAAGCCATTCACGGATGAGACGTGAAAAAGTTCGCATGCACGAAGGAAATAAAAAAGAAATGAAAGAGCGAACATTTTTCAAAATTATTCCTATACCCTCGTAATGCTCAGAAGAAATTGTTCACGGCGAAAATTTGCCAAAGGCTTTTGAAAAGGCAAAATTTTACTTACACCAGCGTGCCCCAGAAAAATATAGCTGAAGAGCATCTTGAAACTGTTTTAGATTAAATTCAGACTATATTTGATTTACCCAAGACTAAATTGCCATTTATTAGACGAGAGAAAATTTTACTTGCAAGATGGAAATTAAAAATTAGTAAGCGTCACTTATAAGTGGGCCACCTTTTCAAAATTTTTATTTCCACCATATATCGTTCAAAAGAATATTTTTGCTTCAAAAATTCGCCAAATGCTTTTGAGAAATTCAAAATTTCACTTGTATAACAGCGTTTCTCGGAAAAAAAATTTCGCTTAAGACGAGCATCTTGAAAATTTTAAAGTTCAGGCTGTGTTTAATTTCTTTGAGAAAAAATTATAGCCTTTTATTTGACGAGAGAAAAGTTAACGTTGGAAATGAGCAAAGATATCTGTGGAAATGAATAATAAATCAGCGTCAACTGCTGGGCCTCCTTTTCAAAATTATTCCTCACCTCATCTCGTAATGTTTGCTTCAAAAATTAGCCAAAAGCTTTTGAAAAGGCCAAAAATTTCACTTACAACGGCGTGTCCCAGAAAAAATAGCTGAAGAGGTGTATAATTAGCCAGTCCAGGCAGTCGCAAAGCAGTCGGCGACTTTTGGACGTAAGCTTTGTACGCCCGGTACGCGTTCCTCACTCCTCCATTGTCAGCCAGATTTTCTCCGAGGGTCAAGTTCCCGTTTATCTATTCGACACATCGTCGAAGAGCAAAAAATTAAGAGCTTCGGCTTTTAATAATATAATGACAGTTTTTCACAATAGCCCAAGAGATTAGAAAGTCATTAGAAATACAGTACCTGAAGACCGTTTGGATTTGCTGATGGTTTTGTGAGTCCGAGCTCAGTAATACTCTCGTACTGGTTCACAAAGCATTCTGTCTTCTTGTCGTACTTTGCCCTCGTAGTGTTCGTCCACCAATTTAAACGGGATCCGTCTTTGTCGAACAACGAGCCTTGAAATAAAAATAGACAATCTCCAAGGATATGCAAAAAAATATTCCCATTCGATCCATACAATCTGAATGAAGGTACAGTAAAATAATATACCCGAGTCATCGAATCCATGGATGATCTCATGACCGATAACTCCTCCGATGGAACCAAAATTGATCGCTCTGAAAATCAAGAGAAATATTTCATTTCGTTTTGATTTTTTTCTTATACAAATCGTCTCAACTTACGGTACATTCAGACTATGGTAATAAAATGGTGGTTGAAGAAACCCAGCTGGAAAAACTACAAAAAAAATATTTGTAAAGCAATTCAGGAAATTCAAGGAGCCCAACAAATTTCGAATATACTTTACTCACAAATGGCGTTATACGAAGATGAATAAAATGCATTCACGACAGCTGGCTTCGTTATCCACCTGTAAAATATAGAATTTTAGTTGTCATGCCGCATTTAACCATAATATTACAAAAAAGTAACTTGAAAAATTTACAGAAATATCTGCTGCAAAATAATATAATAGAGGTCTCTTTCTCTCTCTCTCTCTCTCTCTCTCTCTGTCTCTCTCTCTCTCTCTCTCTCTTTTACACCAATTTTCTTGGTACAATGATTTGTTTTTGGTCTCGTAGGATTCTCTCGCCATATTATTGGGGATTATCTGCAACGAAACTCTCTCTAAAACGATTTTTTTCTGGTTCTTCTGAATATATTACGTCACAGAGAGAGTCCACCTGTACGTAATCCAAAAATAAGTCTTTTAATAACTATTAATCGAGTGTTTTTAATACCTGAATCAAAAGTTGATGACTTCTGTTTTGCCCAACTCATAATGCTAGAACTGTGGGCCAGAACTCAAAGACTAAACGTAATCTAAATTATCAAATGTATTGCATACAGTACATAAAGATGCCTGTATATTCACATGTTTGAAAATTGAATGAAAAATTATCAATTCGTATTGCAGACTGTATAGAGAACATGCCCTGATATAGTCAACAATGGTGCATTCATGAAATCAAATCTCGGTGCGAATTTTGCTTTAATTTCCTGATGGGAACCTGCCACCAGTTATTCTAGGCGCGGAAGAAAATGGAGTTCTCATGAGGCTCTTGAGAATTTTTTCCCCGTATAGTCATATATAATTTTGTGTACTTGAAAAACTCGAATTTCGAAAGGACCGGCATGCAGTTCGTAAATTCCATAAACAAAGAAAAAGGCCCTCGTGGTCTGCTTAAAATGCGTTCCGCGTATCTAATTTAAATCTACTGTACTCACTCGTTCGGGTCTGGCGTCTTGCGTAAAAGTGCAGCTTCGTCTTTCACCTCAAACTGGAAGATGCTCAGCACGTTTTGAAAGTGGTCATTTTCCGTAATCACCACCTGTTCGGAATGCCCATTACGTACACTCTTTTATCGCAAAGGCGGTTCGTCTTCTCCTCACGTAATTATTGAGCAAAGGTCTTGAAATTAGCGAAAGCAGCAATTAAAATGCCTCCGTGTACAAAGTTTGAAACCTGGTTTGTGGCATGGGCTCGTAAAATACTACAGTACATGGAAAATCGTGAGGTTTCGTTGGAATCGTGAAAAAAAATCTGCACCACCAGTTTTGAAATTATTTTTATAAATTAGTCGCACTCTATGTTAAAAAAAATTGTGTACATTTGCATTAAACATGTACTGTACTTACTGCAATTGTATGCTCAAGAGAAGAAGATTATTTGGAATCATGGAGTGTTTTCTAAGCGTTTGAGGATATCCAACTGGTTTCACTGACACTTATAGAATGAAATGATGCTTCTCGATTCTCAGGAAATTCAATATCACATATCAGTGTGACTTATAATCGCAGCCCATTCATTCAGTTTTCGAGGCATGCGATATTCGGACGCGTTTTATAATTAGTAATGAGTCTTAGATATACTCAGGGTATGTGAAGTACGTACCCTAATCATTTTCTGGAATTTCTGGAAGAAAGTGGTTCTTCGCCTTTATAAACGAGAATGGTATTTCAAGTTTAATTCGGTCCATATATTTTACCGAAGACTGAGTTACCGTATTTACACTGGAGAATAAGCACCTTAGTGCCTTTTTTCTGAAAAATCAAGGCAGAAAAGTGGGGTATGGTATAAGCGTTTTAATTTTCTAGAAAAAAAAAGGATAATAGTGGTGGGAGCCATAAGTGATTACTTTGGATAGTGCTGGGGACTGAGTCGGGCGCCGGTAATTAACTATATTAATAAACTCCCACTACAATCCAAAAACTCGTCCTTTGGTAGAGACCCAGCACCAAAGAACAAGTCCCGAATTGTTCGACAATGCACAGCAACGAAATCAGCCAATCCAAGGCCAATAATTGACCCACATGGAAAACCACTTTCCTTCTCTTTCTTCTGTCTCCAAAAAAATGTAGCAATGAATTTACTCCACTGCCAATTCTTGAAGTGTGAAGAGCTCTTGAGACATATGATTTTATCATTTTGTTGTCATGTTGTGTGCAAAGTCCTAAATTTTCTGAGTTGATTTATTCTTTGGGACATTATTAAATACTCAATTCTTTTGGAGCCTATTTAAATAGGCTCCCAGGCTGATTGCCGTGTTTCATTCATCATTCTCATATTTTCTTTGTTGAGACTTCTTAGTCTCTAACAGATAGGTACATGCAAGTAATGAAGAAGAAATTTTGTTTGCCTCAAATTCTGTAAAAAATTATGGATTTTATTTCTTTTATCAATGAGATTTTTTTGTTCGAAACTATAGTTTTAAATTTTAAAAAAAATCGATTTTCAACCATAATGGTGAACTGGGGTGCGTGCCTCATGCTGCGAAAATACATTATTGGGCAAATTTCATGCCAAAAAACTTTTAGTTGCGAGTCATGCTCGCGTAAATACGAGTAGCGTATACTTCCAATATACAGTAAATATGATTTCGAGACTCACGCCTTTGTAATACGCCTTGAGGGCATCTTCGTTGGGTTTGCCATCCGCGGTCATTGTCCAGTCCGGGTACGCCATTCTCACACGCATCACTTTGGCCTTCTCCATTGCCAGGTCCCGAGTTTTGGGGTCCATCCAGGTGGTGCCGTTGAGCTCTTGAATGAACGCTGCTCGGATTAGTTCGACCATGTCAAGCAGCTGTTGAAAAGAGTTGACTTTCGGTGATTGTACAATGATAATGAGTTAGCGGGTGAAATGGAACGATGGGTCGGGAAAAGTGAGCTCTATCATCTGGGAGCGAAAGAGAGAAAACTTGTAGTCAAGAATGCTGCGATTTTATCTGGTTCTGGTTGACTGAAACGGATGGGTTTCCGACTCATAGCAATGTTTCGTAAATATCCTGAGTGACTGAACGATTGCACCGAAGAAATGCGTCAGCAATTGTAGGGTATCTCGGAATTTTAAATACTGTACCGTGCGAATTAAATCCAGTTAAAACGAATCTCAGGCGTTTCGAAAATTTCGTTCTAATCGATTTAAATTTAAAAGATAAACGTAATGGGAAATAGCGACTACAGTAAGTCCTGGTATTTTTATTAATACTAAAACAGTCTCGAAGCAAAATAAAAATATTTTTCTCGCCACCAACAAAAAATTTTCACCAGCAAAAAAATAAAGGAGCAGCCAAATATTTTTTTCAAGTTTCAAGTAATCTTTGATTACCGCATGAGTAACATTTTTGACATCACTGTACAGAATGAATACAATTTCTGAATCGCATCCTTCAAAGGCACAACGGAGATTTTGGAGAAAATTTTGAATAGCCGGTTGATGATTTTTCATAGATAGATGTTTATACATTTTTCTTTCGGAATTCNTAGTCATATATAATTTTGTGTACTTGAAAAACTCGAATTTCGAAAAGACCGGCATGCAGTTCGTAAATTCCATAAACAAAGAAAAAGGCCCTCGTGGTCTGCTTAAAATGCGTTCCGCGTATCTAATTTAAATCTACTGTACTCACTCGTTCGGGTCTGGCGTCTTGCGTAAAAGTGCAGCATCGTCTTTCACCTCAAACTGGAAGATGCTCAGCACGTTTTGAAAGTGGTCATTTTCCGTAATCACCACCTGTTCGGAATGCCCATTACGTACACTCTTTTATCGCAAAGGCGGTTCGTCTTCTCCTCACGTAATTATTGAGCATAGGTCTTGAAATTAGCGAAAGCAGCAATTAAAATGCCTCCGTATACAAAGTTTGAAACCTGGTTTGTGGCATGGGCTCGTAGAATACTACAGTACATGGAAACTCGTGAGGTTTCGTTGGAATCGTGAAAAAAATCTGCACCACCAGTTTTGAAATTATTTCTATAAAATAGTCGCACTGTATGTGAAAAAAGATTGTGTACATTTGCATTAAACATGTACTGTACTTACTGCAATTGTATGCTCAAGAGAAGAAGATTATTTGGAATCATGGAGTGTTTTCTAAGCGTTTGAGGATATCCAACTGGTTTCACTGACACGTATAGAATGAAATTATGCTTTTCGATCAGGAAAATCAATATCACATTTCAGTGTGACTTATAATCGCAGCCCATTCATTCAGTTTTCGAGGCATGCGATATTCGGACGCATTTTATAATTAGTAATGAGTCTTAGATATACTCAGGGTATGTGAAGTAAGTACCCTAATCATTTTCTGGAATTTCTGGAAGAAAGTGATTCTTCGCCTTTATAAACGAGAATGGTATTTCAAGTTTGATTCGGTCCATCTATTTTATCGAAGACTGAGTTACCGTATTTACACTGGAGAATAAGCACCTTATAGGTACCTTTTTGCTGAAAAATCAAGGCAGAAAAGTGGGGTATGGTATGAGGGTTTTAATTTTCTGGAGAAAAGCAAAAGGAGATTAGTGGTGGGAGCTATAATAAGTGATTACTTTGGATAGCGTTGGGGACTGAGCCGGGTGCCGGCAATTAATTATATCGATAAACTCTTACTACATCCCAAAAACTCGTCCTTGGGTAGAGGCTAGGCCCAGCACCAAAGAACGAGTCCCAAAGGAATTGTACAGCATTGTCTGCTATTCCAATGAAATCAGCCAATCCTAGGCCAATAATTGACCCACAAGGAAAACCACTTTCCTTCTCTTTCTTCTGTCTCCAAAAACATGTAGCAATGAATTTACTCCACTGCCAATTCTTGAAGTGTGAAGAGCTCTTGAGACATCTGATTTTATCATTGTGTTGTCATGTTGTGTGAAATTATGAGTGTGCAAAGTCCTAAATTTTCTGAGTTGAATTATTCTTTGGGACATTATTCAATACTCTATTATTTTGGGGCCTCTATAAAGAGGCTCCCAGCCAGTCCCAGGCTGAATGCCGTATTTCATCTATCATTCTCATATTTTCTTTGTTGAAACTTCTTAGTCTCTAACAGATAGGTACGTGCAAGTAATCAGGAAGAAATTTTGTTTGACTCAAATTCAGTAAAAATTTTGGATTTTATTTCTTTTATCCATGAGATTATTTTGTTCGAAACTATAGTTTTAAATTTAAGAAATTCGATTTTCAACCATAATGGTAAAATGGGGTGCGTACCTTATGCTGCGGAGATAAATTTTTGGGCAAATTTCATGCCGAAAAACTTTTAGTTGCGAGTCATGCTCGCGTAAATACGAGTAGCGTATACTTCCAATATACTGTACAGTAAATATGGTTGCGAGACTCACGCCTTTGTAATACACCTTGAGGGCATCTTCGTTGGGTTTGCCATCCGCGGTCATTGTCCAGTCCGGGTACGCCATTCTCACACGCATCACTTTGGCCTTCTCCATTGCCAGGTCCCGAGTGTTTGGGTCCATCCAGGTGGTGCCGTTGAGCTCTTGAATGAACGCTGCTCGGATTAGTTCGACCATGTCAAGCAGCTGTTGAAAAGAGTTGACTGTCGGTGATTGTACAATGATAATGAGTTAGCGGGTGAAATGGAACGATGGGTCGGGAAAAGTGAGCTCTCTCATCTGGGAGCGAAAGAGAGAAAACTTATAGTTAAGAATGCTGCGATTTTATCTGGTTCTGGTTGACTGAAACGGATGGGCTTCCGACTCATAGCAATGTTTCGTTAATATCCTGAGTGACTGAACGATTGCACGGAAGAAATGTGTCAGCAATTGTAGGGTATCGCGGAATTTTAAATACTGTACCGTTAGAATTAAATCCAGTTAAAACGAATCTCAGGCGTTTCGAAAATTTCGTTCGAATCGATTTAAATTTAAAATATAAAAGTAATGGGAAATAGCGACTACAGTAAGTCCTGGTATTTTTATTAATACTAAAACAGTCTCGAAGCAAAATAAAAATATTTTTCTCGCCACCAACAAAAAATTTTCACCAGCAAAAAAATAAAGGAGCAGCCAAATATTTTTTTCAAGTTTCAAGTAATCTTTGATTACCGCATGAGTAACATTTTTGACATCACTGTACAGAATGAATACAATTTCTGAATCGCATCCTTCAAAGGCACAACGGAGATTTTGGAGAAAATTTTGAATAGCCGGTTGATGATTTTTCATAGATAGATGTTTATACATTTTTCTTTCGGAATTCGTGACCCACTCTACAATAAAATGGCTTGCATAAATTAAAATTATAAATCAGGGCGCGGCCAAAAAAATTGAGCAAAAAGACAGTAACGCCCTTTCCTCGTTTTTTAAATTCGTGATATGGAAAGATCAAATTGAATTCACAAAATTTCTTAAATATGGCGTATTTCACTTACGTTTTGTTTGGAATCCTTGTTGAAAAATCTCTCGATGTACATTGCTCCTAGAGACCAACCGAGGAACCTGTTGGTTTTCCCGATGCACTGTTCCATTCTGATGCAATTAGCAGAGAATTTGATATGAAGACTCAACAATTTTTCAATTCATTCATTGATTCGAATAATTTGATGACGAAAAAGTTGGCATTCCTCAGGTTACAGGAAATCATTGTTCGATTTACAGTATTTCAAAAATGTCTTCGAAAAAATTCGTAAGAGAAACCGGCTATCATTTGCTAATTTTCGGGATTTATACTTGGATTTATTCGCAAAACCTTGACATGATAAAATTATCATTGATGACTTTATTCAAAAGTATCAAACTTTGAACTATGGAATTTTCATTTGTTGAACGTTAAGAATTTTTATGAATTTTCCTTTTATAGTTTCTGAAAATAGTCCAAGCAAAGAAAAATAAAAATTTTGAAAATCGGTCTGTACCTGCTTCCTGGAAGATTCCTGAAACAAATCAAAAGGGAAATTTGAATTTTCTTCACTTTTGAACTTCCAATCAATTTAATTACCATGTTTTCCGTCGATCTTTCAATGTGCTCAAAGTGTTGTAATGATGCTTTTTTTGAAAAGTCCGCTCGTAGGTTTGGAATCGTCGAGTCGTTTCTGGACCGATTGCTAAGCTCAGCCTCATCATGAAATAATTAGCTGTTTATGTGAAAATTCTGCATGTAGTTTCCCGTGTCAAAACATTGAGGTTTCGATGCATTTTTCAACTTGCCAATGGTTATGTCATCGAAAGAGTTGATCAAGTCGACGAGTTGCTCGAGGAACGTCGGATTGACAACAATGATTTTATCAGTGTCAGTCAACGTGGCTCCAACCGGCTCGAAAATTGACTTGAAATACTTCGTCCAGTCGATTTTTCCTCGAGCCTGATAATTTTGCGAAATCGAATCAATTTTTTTTCTCTCGAAAACTCGAGTACGATTCAATCAATTCTCGCAAAACCTGATTTGGCGCTGTGGCAACTGAATCCGTCAGAAGTTGGAGTTCTTTCAAAGTAAATGGATTGTAAAGTTCGGCTGGCGGAGCAGAATATTTTGCCGTAGTTCCCATGGTGATCTGGAGAAGAAAATGAAATTTAAAACTATAATACATTACTGCGAAAATGTAGTTTATTTTTAAAACGAGCTTGAGCATAATGTGCAGGTCCATCGTTCAAAAAAAGCCCTCCGACCACAAAAAGTCGAAAGTCAATGACATTATAATTTAAACCTGGATCGAATTGCCCTTTTATCGGGTAAAATACCGTATGTATGCGCCCACACTTCTGTAAAGGTTACACTTCTAAAAGTATGACTTACACTTCTGTAAGTCATTCTTATAATTGCTTTGAAATAAATTCAGCAAGTCGATCCCATCGTAGCTATAGGTGCTGAACTCTTTCTTTTTTTTCTTTTCTTTTTTGGGAGGGCCAGAAAAAAATGCCGTCGAGTGCCCTGATTGTGGTGCATCGACCACAAAGACGAATAAATTGGATGATAAATTAGGCTGAAAGGTAAAATTGATATGAATAAAACACGTACGCCGCCGGGGACTCGGCAGGGAGCCTTTTGGTGAGGTCTCCAAAAGAAAAGCGATTTGAGATATATTTCAGGACAAATAATCAACACTGATAAAATGAGATGTTTGCACTTCGCGAGGTGAATTGAGACTGTAATGTAAATTAGTGAGAGGAGGAAAATGGCGAGACGATTGGAATTCCACGCTGGAATTCCAACGTGGAGTTTTCTGCGGGCGTCGGACGGGAGAGGCGGCTTGCGCCACCTATCCCTTACACCAACCATGCTGTTTCCCATGAAATTACAAGAAGGACAGTCAACAACAAAAAAACTGCAATAGAATATCTGTCCCAAGAGGGATGACTTCCCTCAACTACATTTTCAAAATTTAAAGGATCAAACCATGAACCAAGAAGTTCAAAGAATCCGTTCAAACATCCAACCCGGGAGCAATTCTACAGCATCTTCTGAAGAATAAAAATAAAGATGCACTCCAAAAACTGCAAAAAGATTAAAAAAAATTCTTATCCCAGGCAATGTGAAAGAGGTTCTAGTACAACTTGGGACAATGACTGCTGTTCAGCACACATTTTGTGAATGCAGCAAGGATTTTTTACTTGTTAGTTCTGGATACTGTGGAATGCTTGGAATTGCATGAAAACAATTGCTGGTAAAATTAAACATAAAAAGTTGGCCACACAAATTATTTGTAATTTTAAATTGTTTTTGTTTCCCACTTCAGTGCATTTTTTCATTGTTTTTTTTTTTTTGCTGTTTCTCTACACAGCAATGCATATCTGTTG